TAACAATTGGCCACAAATGACTAGAAGTTGAATTAAAACTAACAAGTTTCTTGCCTTTTGCACTTATTATCAAATTAGAGATAATTAGACATAAATAAATAAATGTCTTTATAACCAATCATACTGTATGTCCTGCTTTTGTGGCAACATCTTCCAATCAGAACACACAAGTTCTCAGTATAAATCATTACCAGTCCTCTGCTTCCCTTGTGTCTGTCCTTAAACCCAAGAAATGAAAACTGACACCCTTTTCTACCATACTCAGATTAAGTAAGTTTTGCTTTTTTGACTTTTCTGGCCTTCACCCATCTGTACCACCCTCTGTTTCTGGGATGGTGAAGACTTGCCCCAAGCCAAGTTAAAAAACAGTGACATCTTGAAAATTTCAGGCAAATGGATGGAACTAGAAAAAAAAAAAAAAAAGGAAAAAATCCTGAGTGAGGTAGCACTAATCGAGAAAAACAAATATGGTATGTACTCACTCATAAGTGGGTATAGCTGTAAAGCAAAGAATAAGCAAGCTACAATCCATAACCCCTGAGAAGCTAGGTTTAAAAAAAAAAAGGCCCCTAAGAGGGGCACACATGAAGTGCCCCAGGAAGGAAAAATATTTAAGATCCCCTGGATAAAATGAGAGAAGGACTAGAAGGGAGGGGATGGGGATGGGAACTTAAGGGATATAGAAGGCTGAATTTAGGAAGGAACTGGGGAGAGAGCTATGAAAGGGAAATCTTGATACAGGAAGTCAGTATGAGGTTATGGAGAAACCTGGTGCTAGAGAAATCCCCAGGAATCTACAAGGATGACCCCAGATAAACTCCTAGAAGTAGTGGAAAGTGTACCTGAAGAGCCTTCCCCTTTAATCACATTGATGAGTGCCCTAATTGTCATCATGGAATCTACATCCAATGATTGATGGAAGCAGATGCAGTGACCCACAGCCAAGCCCTGGGTTGAGCTCCTGGAGTTCAGCTGAAGAGAGGGAAGAATGATCATATGAACAAGGGAAGTCAAGATCATGATGGAGAGAATGAGGGACAGCTGACCTGAGCTAGGGGGAGCTCACTAACTATGGACGGACAGCTGAGGTACCTTCATGGAACCAAACCAGGCTCTCTGAATGTAGGTGACAGCTATGTGGCTTCATATGTTGGAGGGCCACTGGCAGTGGGACCATGACCAATCCTAGGTACATGAACAGGATTTTGGGAGCCCATTCCTTATGTTGGGATTCCTTGTTCAGCCTTGATACAGGGGTGAGGGGCTTGGTCTGCCTCATCTTGGTATGCCAGACTTTGTTGACTCCCTAAGGAAGTACTTCCCCATTCTGAGGAGTGGATGGGGGAGGAAAGAGTGAAAGGTGAGGCAGCAGGAGAAGGAGCGGTGGGGAACTGTGGTTGGTATGCAAAATGAAAAAAAAATTAAACAAAGAATCAGAAATCATCCTGGCACTAAAGTCATAAGTACATGCCGCCACTCACAACTTTAGATATGGGCTTTGGGGACTCACCTCAGGTTTTTGTCTCGCAAGGAAAACACTTTCTCAGGCTCCCTCTGTACTCCCCAGAGTCAACATGCTAAACAGAGCTTCTGTAACTTTGCTAATATTGACCTGCCCTGAAAACCACTACTCTTGATGTGCTAAGTGTTGAAATTCCATTGGCAACCTACATAAAAGTAAAAGTTACAAAGAAGGCAAGGAAGAAAGAGAGATGAGGGAGTAATGCTCCATTAAATAGAAGGTGGAAAAAAAGAACAGGAAGCTTCAGGCTGTCCTCCTGCTTCATGTTTTCAATAAGCTTTAGACAATGACCAAACTTTTCTTTGAAACATATGCAAACACTTGGCTTGTGTGGTCTCTATGTCTTGTAGATATGTTAAGCAGAACATTCTGTCACCGGGGTGCCCAAGCAAATACAGGTCACCTTAGCCACTGTCCTCCAATGACCAGGTTCTGACTGTCAGTTAGGAACCATGCTTTCAACATCTGGGTGAGCACTTTAGCATATCAGCCTTGCTGTAGGCTGTTTATAAAGAGAATCTTAAAGAGGGAAATGGAGGAAATATTGAACTTCCTGTTAGACAAATGAGACTTCCATTTTACATAGGTGTATATGTTTCCTATTCTTAATTGCTACATAAGCTCCTGTTTGTTTGTTTTATTTTAAGTTAAATGGAAGAAATAGCAACATTTAATTCCTGGTAGTTGTGATCCAATTTTTTTAGGGCAATGGGCATAAAACATAAATTCCAGTTTTCTTTTCTATCACATTGATTATTATCTATCTACTGTTTTCATTTCATTGCTTACATTCTATAAGTTTTTTCTTTCTCTATTTTTTTTCTGATAACTGAAATTCAACTCAACTTTTTAATTTATTTATTACATTCTCAGAGGGATATTTGTGCCATTTCAGCACAGCAAAGAGCAAGAAAGGGTTCCCCTTCTATAGACTAGGTTTCCTACTACATAAATGTTACAATAAATCTTTCTGTCAAAAGCCGCTGAGCCCCACTGCCACGTGTAAGCTTTACGCCAGCCGCCTGCCCAATTTAGGCCCAAATGAATACACAGAAACTTGTATTAGGTACAAAGCTGCTTGGCCAATGACTAGGACTTCTCATCTGCTAACTCAGTCTTAACTATCATAAACCTATATATTTTGGCGTTCCCTCCTTGCTGGGATCACATCTTGCCGCTGGAGCAGGAGGGAAAAAAAAGGGGCGCTTCCTGTTTCTCCTTCACTTAAATATGAGTCTCCTTGCTATGTCACTTCCTGCCTTAACTTATCTTTTATAATAACTGAAGAAAACTATAACCATAACTATCTGTCTTCCACTCTATCAGAGACCACAGATGGATAATATATAAACTTTAGAATTAACAAGAACATGGATTTCTTATTAAAATGTATTAATTGTATAGATGAATTAAGTACAGTGTGATCTTTCTACATTTACATAATATTGGATCAAAGCTAACCTCCATTTGTACATCCTCTTCTATTTTATCTTTCCCAAGTTTCATATCAACCTGGGAAAAATATATATATACAGCAACAAACAGTCCAGGCAAGAGCGGTTTCTTGCCCAAATGGCTAATCTTGCCGTGTTGAAAGCAAACTCCATAACGAGTTTCTTCAATGCCCATCCTCC